AAATAATTTAAATGGTCTTAAAACCCAGCCTTAAAGTCCTATCAACTACAAATTCTTTACAAATGCATACACTGTGTCTAAAAAAGACACATCACATAAAAGTAGAAATACATAATTAAAAATTGATATTCAAGGATAATCCCTGTGTTATCTTATCTTGTAATTCATAAAGTGTTTAATAATCAGGTAATTTTTAATTTTAAAGTAGATACTTAAAATTCAAGATAGTCTGTCCGAATAAACATTTGCTTGATGAATTCAACCTGTATGGAAGCATAAACTCAGTTCCACTGTGCATTATCAGATGCAACCCAGGTCACTGATTATCTACAAGATATTCTATAAATGAAATCTTTCAGAAACAACTTCTAAGTGCCACAGTAAGCTTTGAAAGTCTGATATTAAGAAAATATACTAATGATTGACACCTAGTATTAAAAGTCACACATTTCAATTATTAAATTTGACATAAGATACAACCTCTTCTCAATATACAAGCTAAAGACAATGTCTGTGAAAATAAAATGAATTCACAAAATATGCAAATATGTAAGTGTTCACAACAAATTAATGAACTAAGAACATTATTTTAAAGACATGTTAAGTATAGTAAGGAATCATACATACACATTGTATTATACTTTGGTTACATTAGGAAAGGACAGGAAATTATACAAAAGTTTTACTATGTCTAATTTTACCTGAGCTCTATATATGTGCTTCTGTAAGGCATTTTTCACTTCCAGAATTTCAACATCAGTCCTGGTAAGTTTTGTTTCTACATTTTTGGTACAATGAGCAAAAACGGAATTCTTCACTTCTTTCTGTATACATGTAAAAGAACTTTAGAAAATGTACTAAAGATAATGTCAACACAAATGATAAATATCACAATGAACAATATAACACAAGATACACATTTACACAATGCTAACTACAGGAAATATCTTCATAAATTATATTAGATCAAGATTTGTATAGTGAAAGAAAAGGGAGGAAAAAAGCAAACATTTAATTTGGAAAGTATTACTTTATGTTTACATATGCACTTTCTTAAGGTACTTTTCATTTTAACTTATTCCAAATCTTTACTGGAATCTCTTTTTCTATTTATCATTGTGTTCACACAAAATAAGATTCATTTAACTACATCTATTATTTTTCTCAAGGTCCTTCTGAATACATGCATATAGGTTAAAATGATAAAATGAAGTCATACTCTAAGAAAAAGTAACTCAAGAAGGATCCAATTTAAAAGACAGGCTGGCGTACTACTTAAGGCATCTATCTGTTAACCAGAAGGCTAGAGGTTCAAACCCACCAGCCACTCCTTGGAAGGAAGATTGGGCAATCTACTTCCATACAGATACCGCCTCAGAAACCCAAAGAGAGTCACTATGAGTTGGAGACGACTCAACGGCAGTGAGGTTTTTTTTTTTTTATCTTATTAAATATGGCTTTTATTATATGAAGGAAGAACAAGATAAAACTAGAAATTTAGGTTACTATGTAATATGTAATCTACATATATATGCATTCTTTTTTTTTTTTT